GGTGCGGGGCGTCCCTGGGGACCTTCCTCTCTAGTAACTGGGCCGGGCCTGCCTGCTGGGTGAGATCCAGACGTGGAAACAGATCCTCGCTTGGGTCAATGCACCCCAAGGGTCCCACCACTGAGGACCCAGACACCAGAAGCCACAGCCGCCGGCGAGGGCCCGTCCCGCTCCCAGCCTAGCTCCGCCGTGGCCACAGGCAGGCCGCCCCGCCACTAGCCGCCGTCCCCCCCCAGCCCTGGCTCCCGGCTGTCCGCTCGGACACTGTCTCCCGCCCGCGCCTCCCTCGGGGCCGGGGCCGCACTCACTGGATGCCGAAGGAGATGAGGGACACGCTGACCACCAGCAGGTCCAGGATATTGAAGCAGCTGCGGCAGAAGGAGCCCTTGTGCAGGAAGGCCCCGTAGGCGGTCATCTGGGGACGCGGGGAGGCGCGGCGTGAGGCCCCCACTCCATCCCGCCCCGCGCCGCACCTCCGGCTGGGCCCAGGTGAGGAGCAGGGCAGTGACGGGGGGGCTGGGGGGCAGGACAGGAGACAAGGCGCCGGGAGCTTCTGCTGCTGCAGCCCCTGAAGGCTCCCCGCCCGGGACTGTCAGCGGACCTTGCGCCCCTGTACGCTCAGGTCCACACCCCCCACCCCACAGGCTCGCTCCACCTCAGGGCCCGCCTAGGACACGGTCCTCTGGGGGGACCCGCAGTGGGGACCAGCCACCCTGGCTTCCCAGGACTTTCCTGGTTTAGTCCCAGGCAATGCCCCAGTCTCGGGCAGACCCTAACGCCCGAAGTTCTACCAAGGACGCTGGCAACCCGCATCCATCCACTTCCCAGCCTCAGGCAGTGCTGATGACCCATGCCTAGTACTCTGAGCTCCATTCTACTGTCTGGTTCTGGAGCCGTGTGTTCAGAGGGGCCGTGGGCACCACAGTAAGAGCACAGCTCTGGAGCCAGGCCACCTGAGTTTGAATCCCACCCTCTGCACTTTGAGTGCCCGGGGCAAGTTACTCAACTTCCCTGAGTCTCATCTGAGAAATGAGGCAACGACATCCTCTATCCTGGAGGGTGGTAAGCGCCCTCGGGAATTACAGCCCTTAGGTCACTGTCCTGCAGATGGCAAGCTCCATGCCAGGCGGGCTTCTCTATAGAGAACTGGACTCGGCCGGAGAGCTAGGACTTGGATTCTGGGTCCCTCCTGTGATGGGGGAGGATGTTCAGTGCCCCCTCTGTAAAGTAGCATCCCCTTCCCTGCCGTTGTGGGGCGCCTGCTGGAGAACCACGTGAAAGCCCCCTGGAGACTAAGAAGGGACCACGTCAGGGGTGATGACTGTCTTGGGTTTGCTGTCACCACCCGCCTCAGAGCTCAGCCTAGAGCCGCTGTTGAGGCCCCACAAACACCTGTCCGATTTCCTTGGCGTGAGCTAAGGGCCAGTGGATTTCCAGGTGAAGGGCTGAAGGGTCACAGCCGTGAAGTGACAGCCAAAGGGGGAAATTTGGAGCTGACGGCTTAGAGCTTGGGAGCAGCTCCCTGGTCACCTGGGGCCCAATCTATCTCTTTGGAAACAGAGCGTGCGCAAGGCAGCCTGTCCGCGGAGCGATTCAAAAGCAAACACAGGGGAAATTGGCCAAAATCGCTCTTGGAACCTAATTCTTCCCACTTAACTCCTGCAGGAGGGGGTCACAGGGGACTCAGGCACCTGTGTCCTGCAGAAGCTTCCAGAAGTGGGTGGATTATGTGAAGGGTCGCAGGGGAATACAGTTGGAGATCTGTCCCAAAGGCCTGCCGTCTGGAGGGGCTGCTTGCTGCCCTGTCTCTTAGTGGAGGTCTGGGCCCCCGAGTGCAGGCCCGGGTGCTTCCGTGGTTTGTGTCACCTGAGAGGCCCTGAGCCCCGAAGGCTGGCGAGTGTGTGTGTGTGTGTGTGTGTGTGTGTGTGTGTGTG